AGGTGTGTGTGTGTGAATATTTTTACCTTTGAGCACAGGCAACTTTGCCCAGCTCATCTTCCTGCCCCCCACCCCCACCCCGGCCCCAGCCCGGAAGGAGCAGGCATTCTATTCTCCCTTGGTATGAAGTGACTGGAAACCTCCTCTGCTCAGTTTCAGAATCTACTAACTCTGGGAACAGGAGGCAAGAAACAGGTTTTCAGGTGCGAGATAGCATCCTGTGAATACATTCTGTCCTCTTCTTGGAAGGAGACCTGGCACTTAGGCTGCAATAAAAGGATCTCCAAGTTTCACACACTGCCCTCTAAAAGACAGATGTCCTTAAAGAAAAAGTCATCCACAAACCCTGCACTGAGCACTGAATATGGATGGACTCCAGGTGGGATGAGCTGGAGGGATGAGGAATGAAATAAAGGCACGGACTACAAGCAGACCATTGTCTATCCTCTTCGGCTGTCTTCAGAATTCTCCTCATGAAGGGAAGTTAAAAAAGGCTTTTAAAAGCAAAAACAGCTTAGTATTTATTGATGCTTTCTAAACACTTAAAATATTTACTTTATAAAAATATCAAGTGTTATTATGATCATTTCCATTTTACCACTAGTAAGTGACAGACCTGGGATTCAGACCCAGAGCCCCTGGCCACAAAGGCCATAATCTTAGCCACTGCACAGTACCTCCTCCTGAGGTGATAGTTTAAAAAAAATCAGAAAGAAAGCTGCATGCTATTGACTCCTGGAGCAAGAAGAGTAAGGTTGAGTGCTGGCTGTAATCCAGGCTGGGAGAGAACAGAAATAGGAAGGTTAATAAGCAGCCTCCCTGTCAGAAGCCCCCTGAATGGGTTACACACTCCCTAGACCATGTTACATAGCGGTGCTTTCTTTCCTCTTGAAAAATATTTGCCTCGAAGAGGTGAGCCATATTTTGTATATCCAAGAACTTCAGGATAACCCGGAGGAAAGAAAGCGGAGGGTGACTGTATTAACGTCATTCCTGCGGCCCCTAGTTGTCTGTTCCCATAAAGATGTAAAGCCTTAGAAACCTTTTAAAGGGGAACCGTGAGTCAGAATTGACTTGATAGCAGTAAGTTTGATGTTGTTTCTGCTGTTCGAATACCCAAAAGTAATAGGGAGTAGGGTGGGGTATCAGAAATAACTAAAATGCAGGCACTTATCCCAATCCACATCCACTATCACAGAGGGAATAAGGCATTCGGGAGGCTCCACCTTCCTGTCATTGCAGAGCATGAACTGGAGGGCAGGGTTTGATTCAGAAGAAGAATATTGCACTGATTTTTAACTTTTCTTCTTCACTGGAGCCCCGATACCTGGCATATTCTTAGAGTAATTGTCGGGGAGGTAGTTTGAAATAAGGCTGTGGAAAATAACACCTGAGTTTTCTGTTTGAACTAGATGTTTAAGGCTTTAATGCTGGTCCTGGTCCTCGAGGTCTGTATTGCAGGGTAGATCATCTTCCCGGTGTTGCACCATAGATCGTCTTCCCGGTGTTGAGGTCACAGTAAGGTTTTGCTTCATAGAAGGAAGGAGTGGAGCATTCTCAATCCTGACTAATGGCATCTCTATGGAGGGTTTTCAAGCCTGAGAATCTTCATAGGAGATGATAGCCTTGTCTTTCTCCCATAGAGTGGCTAGTGGGTTTGAACCACCAACCTTAGGGTTAGCAGTCCAGCACTTACCTAACAGCACCATCAGGGATCCTTAAATGGTTAGACTGGATTGATTTTTTTTAATAAAGAAAGTATTTATGCAAAGTATTTCTACAAGCTGAGTTACAGACCAGTTGTAAAGACATGCACAGAAGTTACATGTTTGCCTCTCACCTCTCCATGTTATTTTAAAAGAAAACTTTACCTTAAACCCTTCTCTCTGTCTTTGCTACAAAAGCCCATGAAACACCCTATAGGACAGGTTTCATTATTCCTTATACCAGTGCCCTTAGGAAAGTCCAGCTATTAACCCCATTTTACAGACTAAGGAACTAGGCCTAGAGAGGTTATACAATCCATCCAGCATCACACAGCTGGTGTGTAGCCCAGGATTCCAATTAAAATCGAATACTCCAGATTCTCAGCTACAGTGATTCAAGACTTGAGCTGAAGAAAGCCTCAAAAGACTTTCCCAATAATTGGTCTCAACATTCAAGGAGGCAGAGGGTGTCCACGGAACAGAGGTGACAGATGTTAGGATTTGCATTATGCAAAACCAGGAAGCTCTTCCCTACAAAGTGGTCAAATGAAGATATTTAGAGATAGAAGGAAGCTAAAAGCTCACCAAGTATACTATCCCATTGCATTTTGAGCTAATGGAGATGTTGCAGTCCTGGGGGAATGAGAGACTGGCCCAGGTCATGGCTGGGTACTGGTGGGACTAGAAGACACGTCAGTTTAAGATGCCTTAGCTCATCACACAGCTGGTAAAGGCCCAGTTATATGAGACAAGAGAAAAAATAAAGACTAGCAGAGCTCCTCACCCCCTAAAAATAAGGTAAAAAATTAAAATTTCCCCAATTACAGAATCAAAGTGATGAGATTCAAAACTAATGGTCATATGTAATGGCCAGTCTGTGTACCAAGCTGGAGGCCAGAAAGGGAGGGAAGACAGAAAGCAGTGGAATTTTCCCTGGGAATGCATATGGAAATCGATAATATTGGGGGCTCTGTTGAATTAGACTAGAGAGAGAGACAGGACAGTTTGGAAGTGCTCATTCACCACCAGGAATACAAGAATGAAAGGTCTGCTAGGAGCTACCATGGAATCAGGAAACGAGAAGCGTTCTTGGCTGGAATCCGAGGGTAGAAGGGAAATGAGATATGACTGTAGCCTGAGATGTTCTAACCAAGGAAGAAAGCTGGGGGGAGGGGCAACACCTGCCATGTGCTCTAGGATGATTTTAAATCTCACATTTTCAAATATTCATAGAGTTCTAGTACCCTGAAGGTAGGCTCACCCACTTTAACATTCATTTAAAATCCTTTATATTTATCTCAAGTGCTTCAAAATGTCTTTCAGGCAACCTTCCTGATTTACCTTTGAGAGGAAGAAGCCTTTTAAGCAGCCCTAGCAGAGTGACACACAATGCTTTGATTTCTTGCCCTGCACCGCCCCCTGAGGCCATAAGGAGAACTTCTGCCAACTTTAGCTTAACAGTACAGGATTTCTTTTTTTTTTTTTTAAATCATTTTATTGGGTGGGGGGCTCTTACAGCTCTTATCACAATCCATACATATATCCATTTTGTCAAGCACCTCTGTACATATGTTGCCATCATTATTTTCAAAGCATTTTCTTTCTGCTTGAGCCCTTGGTTTCAGCTCATTTCTCCCCTCCCCCACACTCCCTCCCTCATGAACCCTTGATAATTTATAAATTGATATCTTATTTGTGTCTTATCTTCTGTAGCAGTGTACATGCTCTGATCTAGACAGAAGCATTAAAGAACTAGAGGAAAGTTGTATGTTTCATCAGTGCTATACTGCACCCTAACTCTTCCTTGTGACTCTTCTGTAAAGGGATGTCCAATTCTCTACAGATGGGCTTTGGGTCTCCCCTCCATGCCCCCTACCCCCATTCACATTGATATGATTTTTTGATGCCTGATACCTGATCGCATTGACACCTCATGAACACACAGGCTGGTTGCTTCTTCCATGTGTGCTTTGTTGCTTCTCAGCTTGTTTATCTTCAAACCTTTAAGACCCCAGACGCTGTATCTTTTGATAGTCAGGCACCATCAGCTTTCTTCCCCACATGTGCTTATGCACCCATTTTGTCTTCAGTGATCGTGTCAGGAAGGTGAGCATCATGGGATGCCAGATTATTAGAAAGAAGTGTTCTAATAAGTTGAAGGAGTATTTGAGTTGAGACCTAATGTCCATCTGCTACCTTAATACTTAACATATAAATTTATGTACATAGATCTATTCCCCTATCATTGTATATATATATATATATATATTTACATATGTACATATCTGTTTTTAGACCTCTATATATGCCCATTTGCCTCCTAGTTCTTTCCTATCTTTCCTTTTACTTTCCTCTTGTCCCACTATCATGTTCGGCCTTCATTCAGGTTTCAGTAATTCCTCGAGGCACATTGCCCTTGATTAAGCCCCACCAGGCAGGATTTCTGAATAGGGACCTTGTACATTAACAGCAGAGTCCTGAAGCAGCTGACTCTCCCCTCCCACAAGAACATGTCAGACTTAATATTCCTTAGCTCATCACACAGCTAGGAAAAGGCCAAATATATAAGCTAGAAGAAAATTAAAATGAAAAAAATTATTTTCTCTCCCCCTATAAATAATGCAAAGAATAAAAAGTTCCCCAGTAAGAGAATGTAGGTGATGTGATTCAAAAAGCTGCTATGGGGTGACTAGAAACTGGAGATCAGGGGAGGGGGTGGACAGAAGGCAATGGCATTTCTCCTTGGCAATGTATATGGACACTGAGACTATCGGGGACCCTGTTGGATTGGACTAGAGAGAAAGACAAGAAGAGTTTGGAAGCCACACTTGGCCAAGGCCGGGTGGCACAGGGAAGACTAGAAGCTAGCTGCCAGCTATGATTGTGGCAACAGCAGTCTGGAGAGTTTGGGGCATGCAGTGTGTGTGGCTAGGAGGGCAAGGAGGGGGTGATCCTAGGAGGGGGCTGGCCTATTCTTCTCCCCTAACTGGATTATGCTTTCACTTCTGCATCCTTCTGTGTTGTGGGGTCAGGTGTCTGGGCCATGGCCTGAAGTCTCGTATAGATCTGGAGCCCTGTATTTTCGGGTCATGGAGGGACAGCTTTCAGACCCAGTGAGTTCGTGTGCTCTGGACTATCGGGGGAAATGGAGCCAGTATGATCTCAGGGTTGCAGAGAGAAAATGTGGGTGAAGCACCTCTCTCCTGAGTCAGGCTGTCTCAACACCAGCAGCAGATGGGATAGAAAACGTCCTGTCTGAGAGCTGGGATTCCAACCATCTGTGTGTTCCCCTAGGGCGCACGGGCCTGATGCTGTGCTGATGGCTGAAGGCAACCCGCCCACGGAGCTGACGCAGTCTCAGATGCTACACATCGCCCAGCAGATCGCGGCCGGCATGGTCTACCTGGCCTCCCAGCACTTTGTGCACCGGGACCTGGCCACGAGGAACTGCCTAGTCGGGGAAAACCTCCTCGTGAAAATCGGGGACTTCGGCATGTCCCGGGATGTGTACAGCACCGACTACTACAGGGTGAGTGACTGCCTCTCTATGGAGGAGAGGGCCCTGGACCTCCTCAGTTTAACAATGGGGACTCCCTCCCCATTATCCGCCCCTCTGTGGCCTCTTGAGCTGTGGATGATTGTCTCCTAAAGAATAGTCTTCCTCGTGACCTTTCTGCAAGGGGAGCCTGAAGGCTGGGGGCATTTCTTGTGGTTATACAACGAAAGGATTCTGAAGTTTGGGTTTCATTTGTGAAAGGATGCTTTTGTCTGATGTTTGAACCGAGGTAAGCTGTTTTGTATACATAATTGCATACTACCTGTTGGAAGTTCATTCACAGAACCTTCTTGATTGGAGGTGGTTGAACTGTTGGCAGGACTGTCCAAATCTAAGACGTTCAGGCCTTCCTGCTCTTGAATAGTTCCATCCAGCCTCCTTTGGCATTTAATCGGGCTCGCGAAGGTGTGGCATTATAGACAATAGTTAACACACATTGATTTCAGGGAAAGGAGCGTTGGTGGCAATGTGAAGTAAATGTGGGACTGCTAGCCGCAAGGTCAGCAGTTTAAACCCCTCAACCACTGGGTGGGAGAAAGACAAAGCTTTGTGCTACCATAAAGATTTGGAGCCTCAGAACCCTCAGGAGAAGTTCTGTGTGGTCTCACAAGGTCATTATAAGTCAGAATCAACTCAATGGTAGTGGGTCTGATTTAGTCTTAATTACATAGATCGGCTCACTGGTGTGGTTAATTTGCTTCTTAAGATCTTAGGCCTGGAAGATGAGAGAAAAGGGATAATTCTGGAATCTTGAAATCATGATGGATGTGCCACCACCCTAGGAGTTCTAGAGGTGATTTTCGTGTTAACTTTTTTGCTTTCCTTGTTTGTTGTATTTGGTTTTCAAGGCGAGGGAATAAAACTAGGAAGGAAAAGGAATAAATGTGTTGTATGTATATCAAGAGTCTTTACAGTCAATTTGAGCTTGCTGAGGAGGATAAGATAACTCAATTGCTCTTCCTAATGTTTGTGTTTGATGTCCTTACAGGAGCAAAAGCTGTAGGACTAACTGGGCTGGTGATGATCTTTCTGCCATTCCTCACTATTCTGCCTTCTGTTACTATTGTTTCCTTGAGGGGAGAGACTTCTGGTTTTGTTTCTTACATCCTTCTAGTGCAACGGTTCTCAACCTGTGGGTCGCGACCCCTTTGGGCGTTAGACAACCCTTTCACAGGGATCACCCAATTCATAACAGTAGCAAAATTACAGTTACAAAGTAGCAACAAAAATAACTTTATGGTTGGGGGGGTCATCACAATATGAGGAACTTTATTAAGGGGTCATGGCATTAGGAAGGTTGAGAATCACTGTTCTAGTGCCTCCCTCACTCCCAATACTTCTGCACTTTAGTTAACAATTAGTCTAAGGAAATAAATTCACTGCCTTGACACATATTCCGTTTTAGATTGTTCTGTGGTGCTTCATCCTTTCTCATCATGAGAAACAGCATCCACATTGTGTTTTGCATGAAGGAATAGAGGTCAAATGAAAAAGGATTCCCTTTTTTATGTATCTGCAGGAATGATGAGCACAGTGTTCAAAATGTGTCCTAGATAATTAAAGCATGAGGGGTGGGTAGATATTTTCTACCAATGGATGCTTTTCTTCTGTTGGCTTTTGCTTCCCAGGAGTTAGGGGTCTAGATGCCTTCCTTCCTCAGGCAAAAAATGAACATGCAGGTGCTTCTGTGAAGCAAAGATTTGCAGATCTTAACGATGACTGAAGGAGAAGTACAAGGCTCAAACCGTAACTTTCTCCTTAGTAGTAAGTTAATGCAAGTTTCAAACTGCTTGCCATACAGTTAAATGGTCAATAAAAGTTTCAATATTATTATTACCCATATAAAGTTACACATCAACCCCAAAACCAAGACTGAACTTTGGAACTCAGTAGTTTCCTCTTCAAGTTGCTCTAGAAAAATAATCTAGGGGAAAAAGTCTGAAAAGTTCAACAAAGAAAAAGACAAATAACTAAATTTTAAAATAACAAAAATTTTAAATGGCCAGAGAGTCTATATAGGCACTTTCCCAAAGAAGATATACTAATGGCTAATAAGCCCATGAAAAGATGCTCGACATTACTAGCCATTAGGGAAGTACATATGAAAAACAATTTTGCCCGACTAAATTGGTGTCTTAGTGTGTGTTTTCTAGAGAAGCAAAACCAGGGAAGCTTATGGAAAAAGAGTGAGAGAGACAGAGACAGAGAAATTTGCTTCAAGGAATTGGCTTATACAATTGTGAGGAAATGTCTCATGCAGTTGTGGGGATGACAAGTCCCACATTCATTAATCAAGGGTCAGGGTGAAGACCTCTCCTGGCTCACATGGCTGTAGGGTCTGAAAACGGAGATTTTCAGGTCAAGTGGCAGGCTGGAGGCCTCTGCTGGCTCATGGTGTTTCACAGGCTGCCACATCCAAAACCTTCAGATCAGATCTGTGGCATGCTGAAGAGTTCTTCAGACTATGTCCCCAGCCAGAGGGAAGACTTATGAAGAATGAAGGGTCCAAATAGAAAGAATGGAACTTGCTGAAACATTTATTTTTATACTGGAGGTAGACCACAGTCCCAAGGAAATCCCCCCATTCAAATTACTGGCTGATCAAATATGGAAAAGCAATCAGTCTAATATTTTCTAAACCACAGAAAATCAAAACTTAGCATACTTGACACATATATTAGCCATCATAGATGGCTATATTAAGTGATGGAAAGGATGTGATGAAATTAGAACCCTTATACATTGCCAGTGAGAATATAAAATGGTGCAGCTACCTTGGGAAACCATTTGGAAATTTCTCAAAATGTTAAATATAGAGTTAGCATATAACCTTGTAATTCCACTCCTAAGTATATACTCAAGAGAATTTAAAACATGTAACCACACAAAAATGCATACACAAATGTTCATGGAAGTATCATTAATAATAGCAAAAAATATAAATATCCTAATTGTGGTAAAAAGTGGCATATCCATATAATGGAATAGTACATCACAATAAAAAGGAAAGAAAAGATTTTGTGATCGTTGCTGAACCATGGGTAAACTTTGGAAATATTCTGATGTGTGAAAGAAGCCTGACACAAAAGACAACATAATACTCAAATATGACTCCATTTGTATCTAATATCCCAAACAGGCAAATCCATAGACATAGAAAGTACATTAGTGGTTGTTGGATACTTGAGAAAGGAAAACCATAGGTGAGTGAGTACTAATGGATATGGGATTTCTTTTTAGGGGAATGAGAACTTTGAGTTGGTTCCAACTCATAGTGGCCCTAAAAAAACAGAACAAAATACTGTCCAGTCCTGCACCATCCTCACAATTATTGACATTGCTTCAGCCACTATGCCAATCCATCTCCTTGAGAGTCTTCCTCTGATTCACCAGCCCTTTACTTTATCAAACATGATGGCCTTTTCCAGGGACTGGACGCTCTGATAACGTGTATAAAGCACTTGAGATGAAGTCTCATCATCCTCATTTCTAAGGAGTACTCTAACTGGATATCTCATCCTAATAGATTTGTTCTTCTAGCAGTCCAAAGTGCTTTCAATACTCTCCCAGCACCACAATTCAAATATAGCGCTTGTGTAGGCTTCTTTTTTTATTGTCCAACCTTCACATGCATAAGAAACCATTGAAAATACCATGGTTTGAACAGGCAAACTTTAATCCTTTAAGTGTATCTTTGCTCTTTAACACTTCATTTATTTATTTATTAACACTTTAAATAAATCTTGTGTAGTGTGCTCTTTGATTTCTTGACTGATGCTTCCATAAGAATTGATTGTGGATCCAAGTTAACTTAAATCCTTGACAGCCTCTATATTTTCTCGGCTTATCACAATGTTGCAGATTGAACCAGTTGTAAGAATTTTGACTTTCTTTGCATTGAGTTGTAATCCACATTGAAGTCAGTATTCTTTGATCTTCAACAGTAAGTGCTTCTTGTCCATTTGGCTTTCAACAAGCAAGGTTGTATCATGTGAATAGCACAGATAGTTAATGTTTTTTCCTGTAATCCTGATGCTGTATTCTTCTTCATATAGTCCAGATTATAAGACTGTTTGGTCAGCGTACAGACTGAATAAGTATGATGAAAGGATGCAACCCTGACACACACCTCTCTTGATTTTACACCATGCAATGTTCCTTTGTTCTATTGGAACGACTGCCTTTTCTTCTATATACAGATTCTGCATGAGTAAAACGAATGGTTCTAGAATTCTCACCTTATTAATGTTATCTACAGTTTGTTATGACCCACAGTCAAATGCTTTTGCAAAATCAATAAAACACCAGTAGACATCTTTCTTGTATTATCTGCTTTCAGCCAAGATCTATCTCACACCAGCAATGGTATTCCTCATTTCACATAATCCTCTGAATCCAGCTTGAATTTTTGGAAGCTCCCTGTCAGTATACTATTAAAGTTGTTTTTGAATTGTCTTTAGCAAAGTTTTACTTGCACGTGATATTATCTTATTCAATTATTTCTGCATTCTGTTGAGTCAACTTTGGAATGGGTATAGATATGAATCTCTTCTATTCAGTTTGCCAAGTACCTGTTTTCCAAATTTCTTGACATAGACTAGTGATTGCTTCCAAGTTACTGGTTTTAACATTCCAATTGGTATTACACCAATAGGAAGCCTTGCTTTTCATTAATGCTTTCAGGGCAATTTGGATTTCTTTAATCGGTTCCATTGATTCTTGAGCATGTGCTATCTTTTGGAATAGTGGCATACCCAATATATATATGTGTGTGTGTGTGTGTGTGTGTGTGTGTGTGTGTGTGTGTATGTATATATATATATACACACACATATATATATATATATATGGTACAGTGATTCTGTGTATTCCTTCCATCTTCTTGATGCTTCTGCATCAGTCAATATTTTTGCTTATGGGATTCTTCAGTCTTGAATTTTTCTTTAGATTTTTCAACTTGAGAAACACTGAAT